AAAAACTTGAACATTGTATACGCGATTCTAAACAATTTTGGGCCACTCTTAAAGGGCTAAATACTAATCGTTATACACAAAACAATATTCCAATTGATGATTGGTTTAACTATTTCAGGGATCTGTTTTCAACTTCTACAGAGAACGAGGAAAGATGTTTTGATATCGACGAATGGAATGTATTTGATAACTCTTTTTGTCAGTTAACTTCAGATATTCTTGATTCACCTATAACAAGAAATGAAATTTCAGAAAGCATCGCAAACTTAAAAAGCAATAAAGCAGCTGGTGAAGATAATTTAATTCCTGAATTTTTTAAATATTCGTCCGATATTCTCCTCCCCTACCTTGAAATTCTTTTTAACGTTATGCTTGAAAAGACTTATTTTCCAGAACAGTGGACTCTGGGGATAATAATTCCTTTGCACAAACAGGGATCAACTAATGTCACCAATAACTATAGGGGTATAACTCTTTTGAGTGTTTTCAGTAAGATTTTTACCAGTATTATACACAAACGTTTAGTATTTTGGACAGATTCCTTTAATAAGATAGATGAAGCACAAGCCGGTTTCAGGCATGGATACTCTACAATTGATAATGTATTTGTATTGCAGACACTTGTACAGAGATATTTAGCACGAAAAGGAGAAAAAATGTATGCTATATTTGTTGATTTTGCTAAGGCGTTTGACTCAATTAACAGAAACATGTTGTGGTCCCTTTGCAAATCTCAAGGTATCAGTACTAAAATTGGTAAATTACTATGTTGTATATATCACAATGTGAAGGTCTGTGTTCGAAACAATAACACCTTATCTGATTCCTTCTACTGTAATATTGGGGTTAGACAAGGATGTATTCTAAGTCCATTCCTGTTTTCATTTTTCATAAATGAACTTTTGATACAAATATCTGAAAATTGTAACGAGGGTATCCAACTCCATCCAGAAACTATTAAACTTTTCCTACTCCTTTTTGCTGATGATATAGTTATGTTCTCGAGCACAGTACCTGGACTTCAAAAGTTAATAAATGAACTTGAGTATTATTGTAACAAATGGAAATTGAAGGTCAATATCGATAAGACAAAGGTTGTAGTTTTCAAAAATGGAGGGAAATTATCCAAACGAGAAAAATGGCTATATAAAGGTGAAAAACTTGAGGTTGTAAGAAGTTACAAATATTTGGGGGTACATTTTACAAATCGACTTACTTGGTCACTGCATTGCAACAAAGCCGCACTACAAGCCAAAAAGATTTTAATTGGCATTTTACAAAACCTAAAACCCCTTGGAAATATTAGCTTTGAAACATTCTCTAAGATTTTCGACACTAAGATCAGTCCTATTTTACTCTATGGTGCTGAAGTCTGGGGCCTAGAGAACTATGATACAATAGAGAAGGTTCATCTATTTGCGTATAAAAGATTTCTAGGAGTAAATTCCAACACTCCAAATGTTACAGTTTACGGGGAATCTGGGAGATACACAATGTATATATTCAGTTACATAAAAGTAATAAAATATTGGATAAAATTGCTTAAAATGCCAAATACCAGATTCCCAAAGAAATGCTATAACATGATGATTCTTTACGATAGCAGAGGTAAAAATAACTGGGCCTCGGGTGTCAAAAAGATACTCCAATCTTGCAGGTATGAGTACATTTGGAGAGAGCAACATGTAACAGTACCAGATCGTTTTATATATAATTTAAGACAAAGGCTAAAAGATATGTATTTTCAAAAGTGGTACTCTTCACTAAACTTACATAATAAGTTAAAGCATTACACCTGTTTTAAATCATTCATTCTGACCGAAAAATATCTTTTGGATATAAATGTTAAGAAATTCCGAACGGCACTATCCCGTTTCAGATGTAGTTCTCATGACCTTCTAATAGAAAAAGGTAGACATTTAGCGATACCAAGGGAAAACAGATTGTGTAAATATTGTACTTGCCAAGAGATAGAAGATGAATACCATTTTTTGCTAGTCTGTCCATTGTATGCAAATATCAGAAAAGAATACATACATAAATATTTTTATCTGAATCCTAGAATAGACAAATTTTATATCCTCATGTCATCCCAAAATGAAACAGTCACAAAATATCTTTCAATGTATATATATCATGCAATGAACATCAGATCCTCTGCACTATAGATGTGATATTTTGTTACGATATATGTAATTCCTATTGCACCCATTGCTACTGTATGTATATATGTACTATAGGCCAATGGCCTTTTCAGTACTCGAAATAAAGATTGACATTGATACAGGGTCTGCCAGCCTGTCAGAGACACAGAGTCTATATACCTGTCAGAGACACAGAGTCTACCTACCTGTCAGAGACACAGAGTATACCTACCTGTCAGAGACACAGAGTCTACCAGCCTGTCAGAGACACAGTCTACCAGCCTGTAAGAGACACAGAGTCTACCAGCCTGTCAGAGACACAGAGTCTACCTACCTGTCAGAGACAAAGAGTCTACCAGCCTGTCAGAGACACAGAGTCTACCAGCCTGTCAGAGACACAGAGTATACCTACCTGTCAGAGACACAGATTCAGAGACACATAGTGAGAGATACAGAGTCCATCTGCCTGTCAGAGACACAGTCTACCAGCCTGTCAGAGACACAGAGTCTACCAGCCTGTCAGAGACACAGAGTCAGAGACACATAGTGAGAGATACAGGGTCTACCAGCCTGTCAGAGACACGGAGTCTACCTACCTGTCAGAGACACAGAGTCAGAGACACATAGTGAGAGACACAGAGTCTACCAGCCTATCAGAGACACATAGTCAGAGACAAAGAGTCTACCTACCTGTCAGAGACACAGAGTTTATCAGCCTGTCAGAGACACAGAGTCTACCTACCTGTCAGAGACACAGAGTCTACCTCCCTGTCAGAGACACAGAGTTTACCAGCCTGTCAGATACATGGATTTCTACCAGCCTGTCAGAGAAACAGAGTCTACCAGCCTGTCAGAGACACAGTCCATCTGCCTGTCAGAGACACAGAGTTTACCAGCCTGTCAGATACACGGATTTCTACCAGCCTGTCAGAGACAAAGAGTCTATCTGCCTGTCAGAGACACAGAGTCTACCTGCCTATCAGAGACACGGTTTCTCCCTACTCGGAGTCTACTTACCTGTCAGAGACACAGAGTCTACCTAGTTGTCAGAGACACAGAGTCTACCAGCCTGTCAGAGACACAGAGTCCATCTGACAGTCAGAGACACAGAGTCTACAAGCCTGTCAGACACGGAGTCTACCTAGTTGTCAGAGACACAGAGTCTACCAGCCTGTCACAGACACAGAGTCAGAGACACAGAGTCCATCTGACTGTCAGAGACACAGAGTCTACAGCCTGTCAGAAACACAAAGTCTAACAGTCTGTCAGAGACACAGAGTCCATCTGCCTGTCAGAGACACATAGTCTACTAGCCTGTCAGAGTCACAGTCTACCTGCCTGACAGAGACACATAGTGAGAGACACAGAGTCTACCTGCCTGTCAGAGACACAGATTCTACCTGCCTATCAGAGACACGGATTCTCCCTTCATGTCAGAGACACAGAGTCTACAAGCCTGTCAGACACGGAGTCTACCTACCTGTCAGAGACACAGAGTTTACCTAGTTGTCAGAGACACAGAGTCTACCAGCCTGTCAGAGACACAGAGTCTACCAGCCTGTCAGAGACACAGTCTACCTGCCTGTCAGAGACACAGAGTCAGAGACACATAGTGAGAGATACAGAGTCCATCTGCCTGTCAGAGACACAGAGTCTACCAGCCTGTCAGAGACACAGAGTCTACCAGCCTGTCAGAGACACAGAGTATACCTACCTGTCAGAGACACAGAGTCAGAGACACATAGTGAGAGGTACAGAGTTTATCTGCCTGTCAGAGACACAGAGTCTACCAGCCTGTCAGGGACACAGTCTACCTGCCTGTCAGAGACACAGAGTCAGAGACACATAGTGAGAGATACAGAGTCCATCTGCCTGTCAGAGACACAGAGTCTACCAGCCTGTCAGAGACACAGAGTCTACCAGCCTGTCAGAGACACAGAGTATACCTACCTGTCAGAGACACAGTCTACCTGCCTGTCAGAGACACAGAGTCAGAGACACATAGTGAGAGATACAGAGTTTATCTGCCTGTCAGAGACACAGAGTCTACCAGCCTGTCAGGGACACAGTCTACCTGCCTGTCAGAGACACAGAGTCAGAGACACATAGTGAGAGATACAGAGTCCATCTGCCTGTCAGAGACACAGTCTACCAGCCTGTCAGAGACACAGAGTCTACCAGCCTGTCAGAGACACAGTCTACCAGCCTGTCAGAGACACAGAGTATACCTACCTGTCAGAGACACAGTCTACCAGCCTGTCAGAGACACAGAGTCTACCTACCTGTCAGAGACACAGAGTATACCTACCTGTCAGAGACACAGAGTCAGAGACACATAGTGAGAGATACAGAGTCCATCTGCCTGTCAGAGACACAGTCTACCAGCCTGTCAGAGACACAGAGTCTACCAGCCTGTCAGAGACACAGAGTCAGAGACACATAGTGAGAGATACAGGGTCTACCAGCCTGTCAGAGACACAGAGTCTATCTACCTGTCAGAGACACAGAGTGTACCTTCCTGTCAGAGACACAGAGTATACCTACCTGTCAGAGACACAGAGTCTACCAGCCTGTCAGAGACACAGTCTACCAGCCTGTAAGAGACACAGAGCCTACCAGCCTGTCAGAGACACAGAGTCTACCTACCTGTCAGAGACAAAGAGTCTATCTGCCTGTCAGATACACGGATTTCTACCAGCCTGTCAGAGACAAAGAGTCTATCTGCCTGTCAGAGACACAGAGTCTACCAGCCTGTCAGAGACACAGAGTCTACCAGCCTGTCAGAGACACAGAGTCTACCTACCTATCAGAGACAATAAGAGGAAGTTGTGGAAGTAACTATAACAATATATGTACCTATCTGAGACACTAAGGGGCATGTCGGTGGCCTCGGGCCAGTAGCGGTGACATTTGACCCGCTCGGCCTCCACGTCCAGTGTGAGCATGCCAATAACATCTGCCTGTTGCTGCCACACCATGTTCCAGAAGTCAGCAGTGGTGTGGGGCAGTGGGCCTTGACACGCGATGTACTGCAGGGTGTCAATGCCAACATTCACATCCAGGTGACTGGCATTGATAAAATCCTCAGTTCCTAACAAGTGAACTCGGTTAAAGTCAACTGAAATCAAATCAATATCATGAATAAATGGCTGTGAAATGGAATAACTTGAATGTGTTTTTTAAATCCTAAAAACATATGTACCCACTCTTTTTATTCATACATTAGTTCAAATTGTTACTATAAATCTGTTTGCAAATCTGAAACACAATAATATACCAGTACATGTTCTGATTAGTGCATCAAAGAAGGAGCATTACAGTTGATGCCATGTTGACTCTTTATGGCAGATAAGACAACTGACCTTGTAACAGCAGTTTGGCTGATAGATTGCTGTGTGCAAGCAGATGCAGTATGTAAGTAGATGCACCCATAATGAGTGAGTGAGTAAGTGAGTGAGTGAGTTGAGTTTAACGCCAATTTAACCCACAATCATAGGTTTCTGTAGTGCCCAAGGGATGCAACTCTGCACAGCGAATTGCGGCGCCTTAGATGACTGGGCCACCCTTGTCCCCCACCCATAATGACAATCTTTAGCTTTATGCTCAGTAGAAAAACTCTTAAGAATTTCCAAATTGTTTCCATGGAAACACTTGAAATTAAAAAAAACCTACAAATTGAACAGTATGAAAAGGCAGTAGTAACGCATGTGGTCATTGCACATGTGTAGTTTCATGTGTAAATACCAGTCAAGCAGGACTGGTTGACCACGGTATAAAAATCTATACTGAAACGTCACTTTTTACAGTATTAAAGAGGTTGTTACCCATTAAATTGTTTCTACCTTGGCATTCTAGAAGTTGGTAAGTAAGAAAACGTACAACTTTATGGATAACAACTTCTGGTTTATTGTATTTAGCGACATTACAGTGAAGATTCTTACACTGTTATCAAGGTGGAGTGACAACAAGTAAGTGATGAGAGGTAATTATCCATGTTTGTTGTGACAAGCAGCAGTTTACATTAACAACAGGTGATAGATAACAAGGCGCATACAGATAAGTGGATGAAGCCAGGTGTACAGTAAGCTTGGAAGATGGTTCTAAGGGATGGGGAGCCAGTGAAGATGGTATCGATGCCTGCTTGGTGCTGATTTGATGAGAGGTGTTGCTAATGTAGGGTAGGGTGATTGTGATGAGACATACTCTGGTCTGGTAGATTTGGGTTCAGGCTGGAGTTTGTACAACCAACCTCCAAGCTAATGCAGACAGCAAATTAGCCCTCTCAGACTACCAGCATAAATTCTCCAGCCATCAAATTCAGACAGACAAAGTCCAAATCTATTCAGCCAAACATTGGGACTTCATCAAAAGAAAACTCTAATAAGCTACGGAAATCTGCCGTCACAAACCTTGGATCAACAGTGATCAAGGGTATTACATCTTGTCTGCCTATGAGGATCTAATCAAGCAATAGACTTTTTTAATTAGGATCCAATCCTCTTGTCACAACTGTTGAATCTTTTTAATCCTTATCATACTGTAGATCTGGCTTCATCCTCTTTGTGCTTCATTACCTGTGTGCTATTTGTTATTCTTACTGTACATCTGGCTTTAACCAATTATCTGTGTGCTACTTGTTATCTATTATCTTTGTTGTTAATCTGCTGCTTATCACAACCTGTCCTACATATATATATACTTCTCATCACTTGGTTGTGACAGGCAAACCGATGGTACCATGGTGGAATGAGGAAATAGAACAGACTAGACGAAAACGTAAATCAGCCTTCAATAAAGCAAAACGCGACTACAAATATTTAAACATAGCCCACGAACTAAACCACCAGGTTCAAAAACTAGTCCAAATAGCCAAAAGTAGAGACTGGAAAAAATTCTGCGAAGGTATAAATAACCGTACAGATGCCAGAACGGTCTGGCGCAAAATCCACGCCATCAGAGGCTTAAAACGACATAAAAAAAACCCTAACATTGACAACTCAACCAACCCCGCCCAAAAAGCAAATAATCTCGCCAACCACTTTTCGGCCGTTAGCAGTAACACCAACTTCAGTAAAAAATTCCAAGATAAACTTAAAACAGAAAACAAACCCACAAAAGAACCAAACAATAACAATCTAGAAATAAATCAACCCTACACAATGGAGGAGCTCCTCTACGTAATCCAAAACAGGAAAAAGGGCACAGCCCAAGGATTAGACCTAACTTCTTACCAAATAATTAAAAAACTCCCCCTAAAACTACTCCAGGCACTAATCAAACTATACAATCTCATCTACCTAAACGGACAGGTTCCTACTCCCTGGAAACAGGCCCTAGTCATACCAATCCCTAAACCTAATAAACCAGCTAATCAAGCTAACTCATATAGACCAATATCCCTAACTTCAAACTTATGTAAAGTAATGGAATCAATGGCTAAAAATAGATTACAACATTACTTAACCCAAAATAACATCATAAACCCAGATCAAAGCGGTTTCACTCCTGGCCGCTCAACCCTAGATAACCTCACCCGACTAGAACAAGATATTAAGACAGGACAGCTAAATAAACAATATACCACAGGCATCTTCTTAGACTTCTCTAAAGCTTTCGACATGGTATGGCACGATGGGCTAATACAAAAACTTAAAAAAATAGGACTCAAAGGTCAGATAATAAATTACATCCAGGACTTCCTAAACAATCGTAAAATAACCGTGGGTATAGACCAAACTCTATCGGACCAATGTCCCCTAGAAAATGGTACTCCACAGGGCAGTATCCTCAGCCCCACCCTCTTCAATATAATGATAAACGATCTATTCGAGGGCCTATCCCCTAAAGTAAACACATCAAAATTCGCGGATGATGGAGCCATCTGGATCCGCACTAAAAGCATGAACATGATCCAAAATTTACTCCAAAAATCTCTTAATAAAATACAACAGTGGGCTGACAAATGGGGCTTCTCCCTTAACTCAGAAAAAACAACAGGAATAGTATTCAAACATAAAAACATGAAACCCGCCTCCCCAATCCTCCAGCTAAACAATCAAACAATCAAATTTCAAAAACAAACCAAATTCTTAGGACTTATTTTCGATGAACATCTCACCTGGGATGCTCACATCCAAAACCTAACAACTAAATGCAGTAAAGACCTAAACACCCTAAGATGCCTAACTGGTTCTAACTGGGGAGCATCCAAAGATACCCTCCTCTCTCTCTACATATGACTAATTAGATCAAAACTAGACTACGGCTGCGCCATATACAACACCCTAAACAACTCTCTATCTAAAAAACTTGACTCAATACAATATCAGGCTCTCAAACTAATTACACGCACCCAACATGGCACCTCCTACACCTCACTTCAGGCCTTAACAGGAGAAATGCCACTAAGTCTACGCAGGGAACAGCTAAGCTTAAATTTCTGGGCCGCGTCCCAATCAAACCCTCTCATCCAAAACTAAATAAACCAAAACATCAGCCCCAAAAACCAAGCTCTAGCTCGTAAACACCCCTTACTTACCCCAATATCCCAAAGAATAACAAACTACCTAAATGAACACCAAATTAAAAATCTTAAACAAAACTGCAAACAATCAAGTATCTTCACCCCTAAACTTAAAATACCCAAAATAGACACAACACTAGCTAGCCAAATAAATAAACAAACCGACCCAAACATAGCTAAAACTACCACACTAGCATACATACACGAAAATTGGCCAAATTGGTGTCACATTTACACGGACGGATCCTCAGATCCGACCTCCAAACACACAGGTTTCGGAGTCCATACCACACAACCAACTAAAACCACACAATCCTTCCGACTCCCAAACAACCAATCAATATTCACGGCAGAACTAATGGGCATGGCCTCAGCCCTCCATAATCAAGAATCCAAAAACCACAAAAAAATCCTAATACTTACCGACTCCCTAAGTGGACTGCAAGCCCTCCAAAACAAAAATACCAAAAACCGACCTAAATTAATAAATCAAATACTTAAAAGCTCCAACGACCTAACTAAGGCAGGCAAACAAATAACCTTCTTGTGGATACCCGCCCACGTAGGAATATACGGTAATGAAAACGCCGATAAAGCAGCTAAACTATCCCTCAAAATCCCAGAAATAAGCTTAAACTTACCCATCTCAAAATCAGAAATTAAAAGTGTAAACAAGCAAAAAATCACCAAAAAATGGCATAACCTATATCTAAACTCAAATAGCCAAATCAAAAAAGTGCTCAGCAAACCACTAACCAAACCAAAAATTCTCCATCCATCCAAAAAAATCGACAGAGTAATCACAAAACTCCAAACAGGACACACCAACCTAAATAACCACCTAAAAAATTTTAAAAAACACACTACAGGTAACTGCCCACACTGCAAACAACCAGAAACCCCAGAACACGCACTCATCCACTGCACACACTACCTAACACATCGAACCGCATTACAAACCACCCTCAATCTAAACAAGGCTCTAACTCTAGAAGCAATACTAAACCCACAAAATAAACTAGAAAACTTCAAGGCCTTAGGCGTATTCTTAATCAAAACGGAACTAATAAAACGCATCTAAAAACACAATAACTCACCAAATCAAAATCACATAAACAAACAAACATCCACCATACCCAGCTCCCTTAGTTCTCCTCCCCAATCCCATCGGCATCTATTCCAAATCTCAAAATTCCCAAATTCTATATAAGCAACCCCTAAAACCCCCCTCTTGGGTTGCACAGACCACCTTCGCCCCTTTTGGAAACACATTAAATGGCCTGGCCGGGCCCGTGTGCGAAATACGCATCAGTCGGAAAGCGCACGTTAAATCTCCAAAGTAAGTAAGTAAGTAAGTAACTTGGTTGTTGTCACTCAAGCTTGATGTCAGTGGCCAAACATTGCTGTATGAGAGTAAGTCCAAATTACCAGGGAAAGGTAACAAAATAAAATCTAGAAAACCTAAAAATAGAAAAAGGCTGCAGTGAAGCTGATGAGCAATGCATATGCCAAGTTTTGATGAGAAAGGTTTTGAAAGTTTTTAAGTTAAGGCTAGGAAATTAACCCCACCCTCGTCTAAGTCAAAATTCTTTCGTTTGAAACATAAATTTATTTTTTTGACAAATCTTAAATTAGTAAGAGGCGCCAGTTAAGCTGATGAGCAATGCACATGTCAAGTTTCATTGAAAAACATCTACCCACAAACATCCATGTCTACCCACAAACACCCATGTCTACCCACAACCGCCCATATCTACCAACCACCACCCATGTCTACTACAAACCACCCAAGTCTACCTACAAACATCCATGTCTATCCACAAACACCCATGTCTACCCACAACCGCCCATATCTACCAACCACCACCCATGTCTACTACAAACCACCCAAGTCTACCTACAAACATCCATGTCTACCCACAAACACCCATGTCTACCCACAACCGCCCATATCTACCAACAACCACCCATGTCTACTACCAACCACCCATGTCTGCCTACAAACATCCATGTCTACCCACAAACACCCATGTCTACCCACAACCGCCCATATCTACCAACAACCACCCATGTCTACTAATAACCATCCAAGTCTACCAACAACCACCCTTATCTACCTACAAACACCCATATCTACTCACAAACACTCATGTCTACCCAAAAACACCCATATCTACTCACAAATACCCATATCAACCCACAAACACCCATATCTACTCACAAACACCAATATCTACCACCAACCACCCATATCAACCCACAAACACCCATATCTACCCACAACCACCCATATCTACTCACAAACTACCATATCTACCAACAATCACCCATATCTACCCACAAACACTCATATCTACCCACAAACACCCATATCCACTCACAAACACCCATATCAACCAACATCTACCAACAACCACCCATATCTAACCACAAACACTCATGTCTACCAACAACCATCCATATCTACCGACAACCACCCATATCTACCAACAACCACCCATATCTAACCACAACCACCCATATCTACCAACAACCACCCATATCTACCGACAACCCTGACAGCTATATTGACAATGAATGCACTCACAGGGCAGGACATTTCTGTATCTGTTCTTGTGTCTGTTGTCTGGTAACCGGGCATCCTCACTTTCATCTGTAGGCTGCAAATGGCGCAGATTCTGGAAAAATTCATAAATAGTGTCAGTTCAACATGCAATGTAGGTTAATATTAGTGTTTGTGAGTATACTTAATGTTCCACAGCAATGAAGTGCATGCAAAAACTGAAAGACCCATCCCAACCTATTCCTGAAAGCCTCCACACTTTCTGTAAACAGTAGGTATGATCCTGAGGATGATGTTTACCTTTGAAATGACATGTATAAGAAGATGAAAATGTGAACCATACTTTAAGAATGGCCTTCTCTGAGACCTTGGCCTCATATGGATGTCACTCACAAAATTTTCTGATCTAATCTGAACCCACTTTAGGAAGACTTGACCTGTGGGTGTTTCTCCCCTCCCTTTGTGTGGTAACAAGTTGTCATGACCTGAGCGTTTCTACCCTATCTTTGTGTGAAGACACCCTGTGTTGACCTGTGAGTGTTTCTACCCTATCTTTGTGTGAAGACACCCCGTCATGACCTGTGGGTGTTTCTACCCTCCCTTTGTGTGAAGACACCCTATGATGGCCTGTAAGTGTGTTTCTCCCCTCCCTTTGTGTGAAGACACCCTGTCATGACCTGTGAGTGTTTCTTTGCCTTCTCCCCTCCCTTTGTGTGAAGACACCCTATCATGGCCTGTGTTTCTCCCCTCCCTTTGTGTGAAGACACCCTGTCATGACCTGTGAGTGTTTCTTTGCCTTCTCCTCCCCCCCCCCCCCTTGTGTGAAGACACCCTATCATGGCCTGTGTTTCTCCCCTCCCTTTGTGTGAAGACACCCTGTCATGACCTGTGGATGTGACTCCCCTCCCTTTGTGTGAAGACACCCTGTCATGGCCTGTGTGTTTCTCCCCACCCTTTGTGTGAAGACACCTTGTCCTGACCTATGAGTTTTTCTCCACTCCCTTTGTGTGAAGACACCCTGTCTTGACCTGTGGGTGTTTCTCCCCTCCCTTTGTGTGAAAACACCCTGTCTGGACCTGTGAGTGTTTCTACCCTCCCTTTGTGTGAAGACACCCTGTGTTGACCTGTGAGTGTTTCTACCCTCCCTTTGTGTGAAGAAAACCTGTCTTGACTTGAGGCTGATTCTTTCCTCCCTTTGTGTGAAGACACCCTGTGTTGACCTGTGAGTGTTTCTCCCCTCCCTTTGTGTGAAGACACCCTGTCTTGACCTGTGGAAGTTACTCCCCTCCCTTTGTGTGAAGAAAACCTGTCATTACCTGTGGGTGATTCTCCCCTCCCTTTGTGTGAAGACACCCTGTCTTGACCTGTGAGTGTTTCTCCCCTCCCTTTGTGTGAAGACAACCTGTCTTGACCTGTGGGTGATTCTCCCCTCCCTTTGTGTGAAGACACCCTGTCGTTACCTGTGGGTGATTCCCCCCCCCCCCCTTTTGTGTGAAGACACCCTGTCATTACCTGTGGGTGTTTTTCCCCTCCCTTTGTGTGAAGACACCCTGTCTTGACCTCTAAGTGTTTCTACCCTATCTTTGTGTGAATACACCCTGTCATGGCCTGTGGGTGTTTTTCCCCTCCCTTTGTGTGAAGACACCCTGTCTTGACCTGTGGGTGATTCTCCCCTCCTTTTGTGTGAAGACACCCTGTCTTGACCTGTGGGTGATTCTCCCCTCCCTTTGTGTGAAGACACCCTGTCGTTACCTGTGGGTGTTTTTCCCCTCCCTTTGTGTGAAGACACCCTGTCTTGACCTGTGGGTGATTCTCCCCTCCCTTTGAGTGAAGACACCCTGTCTTGACCTGTGGGTGATTCTCCCCTCCCTTTCAGTGAAGACACCCTGTCGTTACCTGTGGGTGTTTTTCCCCTCCCTTTGTGTGAAGACACCCTGTCATTACCTGTGGGTGATTCTCCCCTCCCTTTGAGTGAAGACACCCTGTCTTGACCTGTGGGTGATTCTCCCCTCCCTTTGAGTGAAGACACCCTGTCTTGACCTGTGGGTGATTCTCCCCTCTCTTTGAGTGAAGACAACCTGTCTTGACCTGTGGGTGATTCTCCCCTCCCTTTGTGTGAAGACAACCTGTCTTGACTTGTGGGTGATTCTCCCCTCCCTTTGTGTGAATACACCCTGTCTTGACTTGTGGGTGTTTTTCCCCTCCCTTTGTGTGAAGACACCCTGTCTTGACCTCTAAGTGTTTCTACCCTATCTTTGTGTGAATACACCCTGTCATGGCCTGTGGGTGATTCTCCCCTCCCTTTGTGTGAAGACACCCTGTCTTGACCTGTGGGTGATTCTCCCCTCCCTTTGTGTGAAGACACCCTGTCTTGACCTGTGGGTGATTCTCCCCTCCTTTTGTGTGAAGACACCCTGTCTTGACCTGTGGGTGATTCTCCCCTCCCTTTGTGTGAAGACACCCTGTCGTTACCTGTGGGTGTTTTTCCCCTCCCTTTGTGTGAAGACACCCTGTCTTGACCTGTGGGTGATTCTCCCCTCCCTTTGAGTGAAGACACCCTGTCTTGACCTGTGGGTGATTCTCCCCTCCCTTTCAGTGAAGACACCCTGTCGTTACCTGTGGGTGTTTTTCCCCTCCCTTTGTGTGAATACACCCTGTCATTACCTGTGGGTGATTCTCCCCTCCCTTTGAGTGAAGACACCCTGTCTTGACCTGTGGGTGATTCTCCCCTCCCTTTGTGTGAAGACACCCTGTCATTACCTGTGGGTGTTTTTCCCCACCCTTTGTGTGAAGACACCCTGTCTTGACTTGTGGGTGATTCTCCCCTCCTTTTGTGTGAAGACACCCTGTCTTGACCTGTGGGTGATTCTCCCCTCCCTTTGTGTGAAGACACCCTGTCGTTACCTGTGGGTGATTCTCCCCTCCTTTTGTGTGAAGACACCCTGTCGTTACCTGTGGGTGTTTTTCCCCACCCTTTGTGTGAAGACACCCTGTCTTGACCTGTGGGTGATTCTCCCCTCCCTTTGAGTGAAGACACCCTGTCTTGACCTGTGGGTGATTCTCCCCTCTCTTTGAGTGAAGACACCCTGTCTTGACCTGTGGGTGATTCTCCCCTCCCTTTGTGTGAAGACAACCTGTCTTGACTTGTGGGTGATTCTCCCCTCCCTTTGTGTGAATACACCCTGTCTTGACTTGTGGGTGATTCTCCCCTCCCTTTGTGTGAAGACACCCTGTCATTACCTGTGGGTGTTTTTCCCCAGCCTTTGTGTGAAGACACCCTGTCTTGACCTGTGGGTGATTCTCCCCTCCCTTTGTGTGAAGAAAACCTGTCATGACCTGAGGGTGTTTCTCCCCTCCCTTTGAGTGAAGACACCCTGTCTTGACCTGTGGGCGATTCTCCCCTCCCTTTGTGTGAAGACACCTTGTCATGACCTGTGGATGATTCTCCCCTCCCTTTGTGTGAAGACAACCTGTCTTGACTTGTGGGTGATTCTCCCCTCCTTTTGTGTGAAGAAACCCTGTCTTGACTTGTGGGTGATTCTCCCCTCCCTTTGTGTGAAGACACCCTGTCTTGACCTGTGGGTGATTCTCCCCTCCTTTTGTGTGAAGACACCCTGTCTTGACTTGTGGGTGATTCTCCCCTCCCTTTGTGTGAAGACACCCTGTCTTGACCTGTGGGTGATTCTCCCCTCCCTTTGTGTGAAGACACCCTGTCATGACCTGTGAGTGTTTCTTTGCCTTCTCCCCTCCCTTTGTGTGAAGACACCCTGTCTTGACTTGTGGGTGTTTTTCCCCTCCCTTTGTGTGAAGACACCCTGTCTTGACCTGTGGATGTTACTCCCCTCCCTTTGTTTGAAGACACCTTGCCATGACCTGTGGGTGGCAACTCTTCTCCATTACCCCTATGATCTGGACACGTGACTCCCCTCAGCTGAAGATCTGTGTTCCTACCATAAACTCCTCCAGGGGGTCCTCCTGCTCCACCTTATCTGTCAGCTGCTGCAGCAGTGCCAGAATCACATCCTCATCATCCTCAGCCATTGACATCAATGGGAGAGAACTCAGCCACTCGTCTGTGATCAGGTTTGGAACAGTCAGTGGAAGTTTGCGAATGTCATTCAGATGAGAATCAACTGTAATTAGTTTATAATTACTATCATCAAAGAGTCCATTGACATCATTTGTCTCCTGTGAATTCTCAGACATGTGATTGTTGCCCATGTCTGAGTTTGGTGTTCGTAAATCATGGGCCATGAAACCGCTGTCAATGGAGTCGTTCCTAAAGATGGCCACATCGACAGAGTCATTGTCAGTGGTGTCTTTGCCCACACTGTCCACAACACTCACATCTGACTTGATATCAATGAAGGTTGGACCTGGTCTGAAACAGTAGGATACAATTTACTAAAGTTTAATACAGTTAGGATTCTAATAATAAAACTCTCACCATATACCATCCTACAGATTTGGGCCCCCATACTCTGCATCTATTTTACAGCTGGCAATGACAGGATCAATGTCACAGATGGTAATTTTTGTTTGTTTGTTGTTTAATGCAGAACTTCGCAATATTCCAGCCATATGACGGCGGTCTGTAAAAAAACAAGTCTGGACCCGACAATTCAGTGATTGATATCATGAGCATTGATCCACTCAACTGGGATATGATGACAAGCATCAACCAAGTCAGGTAGCCTGACCACCCAATCCGTTAGTCTCCTCTTACAACAAACAAAGTCGCCTCTAACTACAAGCTTGGGTTGCTGAAGACCTATTCTATCCCGGATTGTCACAGGTCCATGACTGGATCTATGTCACAGGCGACAATGACTGGATCTATGTCACAGATGGCAATGAATGGATCCATGTCACAGGCACCAATGACTGGATCTATGTCACAGATGGCAATGACTGCATCTATGTGACAGATGACAATGACTGGATCTATGTCAAGGCACAAATGACTGGATCTATATCACAGATGGCAATGAATGGATCTATGTCACAGACACCAATGATTGGATCTATGTCACAGATGGCAATAAAAAGGATCTATGTCACAGATGGAAATGACTGGATCTTTGTCACAGGAGCCAATGACAGGATCTATGCCACAGATGCCAATGACTGGATCTGTCACAGATATGAATGACCAGATCTATGTCACAGGCAACAATGTCTGGACTGGATCTATGTCACAGATGGCAATGACTGCATCTATGTCACTGATGACAATGACTGGATCTATGTCAAGGCACAAATGACTGGATCTATATCACAGATGGCAATGAATGGATCTATGTCACAGACACCAATGACTGGATCTATGTCACAGATGGCAATAAAAAGGATCTATGTCACAGCTGGCAATGACTGGATCTTTGTCACAGGAGCCAATGACAGGATCTATGCCACAGATGCCAATGACTGGATCTGTCACAGATGTGAATGACCAGATCTATGTCACAGGCAACAATGACTGGATCTATGTCACAGATGGCAATGACTGGATCTATCTCACATGCTCCAATGACTAGATCTATGTCACAGATGACAATAACTGGATCCATGTCAAAGGCACAAATGACTGGATCTATATTACAGATGGCAATGACTGGATCTGTCACAGATGTGAATGACCAGATCTATGCACAGGCAACAATGACTGGATCTATGTCACAGATGACAATGACTGGATCTATGTCACAGATGGCAATGACAGGATCTATGTCACAGATGGCAATGAATGGATCTATGTAACAGGCACCAATAACTGGATCTATGTCACAGATGGCAATGATTGGATCTGTCACAGATGTGAATAACTAGATCTATGTCACAGATCCAAATGACTGGATCTATGTCACAGATGCTAATGAATGGATCTATGTCACAGAATGAAACGACTGGATCTATGTCACAGCTGGCAATGACTAGATCTATGTCACAGGCAACAATGACTGGATCTATATCACAGATGGCAATGAATGGATCTATGTTACAGACACTAATGATTGGATCTATGTCACAGATGGCAATGACTGGATCTATGTCACAGATGTCAATGACTGGATCTATGTCACAGATGGCAATGAATGGATCTATATTACAGGCACCAATAACTGGATCTATGTCACAGATGGCAATGACTGGATGTATGTCACAGATGGCAATGATTGGATCTGTCACAGATGTGAATGACTAGATCTATGTCACAGGTCCAAATGACTGGAACTATGTCACAGATGCTAATGAATGGATCTATGTCACAGAATTAAACAACTGGATCTATGTCACAGATGGCAATGACTAGATCTATGTCACAGGTGACAATGACTGGATCTATGTCAAAGATGGCAATGACTAGGTCTATGTCACAGGTCACAATGACTGGATCTTTGTTGCAGGCGCCAATGACTGGATCTATGTCACAGATGGCAATGACTGGATCTATGTCACAGATGTCAGTGATTGGATTTATGTCACAGGAGCCAATGACTGCATATATGTCACAGATGACAATGACTGGATCTATGTCACAGATGGCAATGAATGGATCTATGTCACAGATGACAATAACTTGATCTTTGTTGCAGGTGCCAATGACTGGATCTATGTCACAGATGGCAATGACTGGATCTATGTCACATTACAATGACTGGATCTGTGTCACAGGTGCCAATGACTGGATCTATGTCACAGGTGCAAATAAATGGATCTATGTCACAAACGCTAATGACTGGATCAATGTCACATGACAATGACTGGATCTGTGTCATAGGCACCAATGACTGGATCTATGTCACAGGAGCCAATAAATGGATCTATGTCACAAACTCTAATGACTGTATCTATGTCACAAGCGGCAATGTGAGTGAGTGAGAGTATGTGTAAGGTTTAATTTGGAGATAAACATACTTGTGTTTGCAATGTTTCCTGTATATCTAACTATCTTAAATGAATTTGGAGCCTTAATTGGTAGAATGAAGCTTCAAACGGAAAAAAGTAGCTTGGTTTAGTGCATTTTGTAACCTATTATTGAACAAAATATTATTTAAAAATGCTAACTGACTATGCTTAAGAAACAACTACTTTTCTATAAATATAAGCTTCCTTGGAGATCAAATCATCTGTTTTATTCAGAAGTGATTATGTTATAGTTAAAACATGAATCCAAGGTTGTACATTTTCAATCAAAACTGATGCATGTTTTAATTAATTTATGAACTTTATGAATCTGGTGCAACAAATACCAGAAAGAATACGACTGAAACAATACAGTAGTTGTGGTAAAACATGAACATGTGCAGCATGCTGAGAACTGTAGTCAGTGACGTAAGATTGAACCTGCCTTTGACACAGTTGGTTACAATACTAAACATGATACATGACGTTGCAGGTTCACATCAGGGAATTTCCATGTGAAATCAAAGCATATCAAAAGGCTAGCAAGATACCTATCAATACTATAGGTGAAAGTGGCAGTAGGTTTATATGAGACAGCAAGATATCTATCAATACTATAGGTGAAAGTGGCAGTAGGTTTATATGAGACAGCAAGATATCTATCAATACTATAGGTGAAAGTGGCAGTAGGTTTATATGAGACAGCAAGATACCTATCAATACTATAGGTGAAAGTTGCAGTAGGTTTATATGAGACAGCAAGATATCTATCAATACCTTAGGTGAAAGTGGCAGTAGGTTTATATGAGACAGCAAGATACCTATCAATACTTTAGGTGAAAGTGGCAGTAGGTTTATATGAGACAGCAAGATACCTATCAATACTTTAGGTGAAAGTGGCAGTAGGTTTATATGAGACAGCAAGATACCTATCAATACTTTAGGTGAAAGTGGCAGTAGGTTTATATGAGACAGCAAGATACCTATCAATACTTTAGGTGAAAGTGGCAGTAGGTTTATATGAGACAGCAAGATACCTATCAATACTATAGGTGAAAGTGGCAGTAGGTTTATATGAGACAGCAAGATACCTATCAATACTATAGGTGAAAGTGGCAGTAGGTTTATATACATGAGACAGCAAGATACCTATCAATACTATAGGTGAAAGTGGCAGTAGGTTTATATGAGACAGCAAGATACCTATCAATACTTTAGGTGAAAGTGGCAGTAGGTTTATATGAGACAGCAAGATACCTATCAATACTTTAGGTGAAAGTGGCAGGAGGTTTATATGAGACAGCAAGATACCTATCAATACTTTAGGTGAAAGTGGCAGTAGGTTTATATGAGACAGCAAGATACCTATCAATACTATAGGTGAAAGTGGCAGTAGGTTTATATGAGACAGCAAGATACCTATCAATACTATAGGTGAAAGTGGCAGTAGGTTTATATGAGACAGCAAGATACCTATCAATACTATAGGTGAAAGTGGCAGTAGGTTTATATGAGACAGCAAGATACCTATCAATACTATAGGTGAAAGTGGCAGTAGGTTTATATGAGACAGCAAGATATCTATCAATACTATAGGTGAAAGTGGCAGTAGGTTTATATGAGACAGCAAGATACCTATCAATACTTTAGGTGAAAGTGGCAGTAGGTTTATATGAGACAGCAAGATACCTATCAATACTTTAGGTGAAAGTGGCAGTAGGTTTACATGAGACAGCAAGATACCTATCAATACTTTAGGTGAAAGTGGCAGTAGGTTTATATGAGACAGCAAGATACCTATCAATACTATAGGTGAAAGTGGCAGTAGGTTTATATGAGACAGCAAGATACCTATCAATACTTTAGGTGAAAGTGGCAGTAGGTGGATCAAGTATATTGAAACCTTTGACCAATAAGAATTCAGTATTTCCAAATTCAAGGTAGAATGAAAAGTATTACATTTCACAGCATGTCACCTTTATGTGGAGCTATACCTCAAGCGATGCAAGTCTTCCAACATTACAACTCTGCGGAAACCCACTAGCACAGAGCTCACAACTGCAGAACAATAATCAGGACAGATCTGCAGCCAACAAACTGAGGCCTACTTACCTTGATATCGTCACTTGAACAGTTCCTGGTTTTGCCTTTCTGAGAATTTTCACAGCCTTTACATGGTTCATTCCTACCAGAGATTCCCCATTCACCTGCACACACAGAACACAATCATTCAAAAGATCATTCAAGTCTGCTTTAAAAAATATCCCCAGATGTAAGTTTGCAGCAGCTTGAAATGAGAGAGAACATAGTGACGTAAGTTGCCTACCTCCACAACCCTTAATGGAGAGAGTATACAGTGACGTAAGTTGCCTACCTCCACAACCCTTAATGGAGAGAGAATATAGTGACGTAAGTTGCCTACCTCCACAACCCTTAATGGAGAGAGAATATAGTGACGTAAGTTGCCTACCTCCACAACCCTTAATGGAGAGATAACATAGTGATGTAAGTTGCCTACCTCCACAACCCTTAATGGAGGGAGAACATAGTGACGGAAGTTGCCTACCTCCACAACCCTTAATGAAGAGAGTATATAGTGACGTAAGTTGCCTACCTCCACAACCCTTAATGGAAAGATAACATAGTGATGTAAGTTGCCTACCTCCACAACCCTTAATGGAGGGAGAACATAGTGACGGAAGTTGCCTACCTCCACAACCCTTAATGGAGGGAGAACATAGTGACGTAAGTTGCCTACCTCAACAACCCTTAATGGAGAGAGAACATAGTGACGTAAGTTGCCTACCTCCACAACCCTTAATGGAGAGAGAACATAGTGACATAAGTTGCCTACCTCCACAACCCTTAATGGAGAGAGAACATAGTGACGTAAGTTGCCTACCTCCACAACCCTTAATGGAGAGAGAACATAGTGACGTAAGTTGCCTACCTCAATAACCTTCAATGGAGAGATAACATAGTGACGTAAGTTGCCTACCTCAACAACCCTTAATGGAGGGAACATAGTGACATAAGTTGCCTACCTCCACAACCCTTAATGGAGGGAGAACATAGTGACATAAGTTGCCTACCTCAACAACCCTTAATGGAGAAAGAACATAGATACGTAAGTTGCCTACCTCAACAACCCTTAATGGAGGGAACATAGTGACATAAGTTGCCTACCTCAACAACCCTTAATGGAGGGAGAACATAGTGACGTAAGTTGCCTACCTCAACAACCCTTAATGGAGGGAACATAGTGACATAAGTTGCCTACCTCCACAACCCTTAATGGAGAGAGAACATAGTGACGTAAGTTGCCTACCTCCACAACCCTTAATGGAGAGAGAACATAGTGACGTAAGTTGCCTACCCCGAAAATCCTTAATGGAGAGCATATAGTGACCTAAGTTTGCCTACCTGCAGCAGTCTGTCTCCCACATGCAGCCTGCCATCGGCATCTGCCACCCCTCCCTCTGAGATGGTCCTGACAAACACCCCCACCTCCTGGTGCTTCTGTGCCGTCACCAAACTGAACCCCAGACCACCAGTGGCTGGCTTCTGTAGCTCCACCCGTTGCACCACTGTCTGCACAAACACAACACATGTAGCCACTGTCTGCACAAACACAACACATGTAGCCACTGTCTGCACAAACACAACACATGTAGCCACTGTCTGCACAAACACAACACATGTAGCCACTGTCTGCACAAACACAACACATGTAGCCACTGTCTGCACAAACACAACACATGTAGCCACTGTCTGCACAAACACAACTGTAAACTGCACCCAGAAAAAACAACCTGTTAACTGCACTAAGAAAACTGCATCCCGTAAACTGCACCCTGTAAATGGCATCCCGTAAACTGCACCCCGTAAGCTGCACCCAGAAAACTTCACTCCATGAACTGCATCACGTAAACTGCATCCGTAAACTGCACTAAGAAAACTGCACTAAGAAAACTGCACCCCATAAACTGCAACCAAAAAACTACACCCCGTAAACTACATCCCCTAACTGCACCCCTTAAACTGTACCCGTAAACTTTATCCTGTAAACTGCACCCAGAAAACTGCACTAAGAAAACTGCACCCAGAAAACTGCACCCCATAAACTGCATCTGGTAAATTGCACCCCGTAAACTGCACACTGTAGAAAACTGCATGCTTCAAAATACATCCCGTAAACTGCAGCCATAAATTGCATCCCGTAAACTGCACCCCGTTAGCTGCACCCCGTAAGCTGCATCCCGTAAACTGCATCTGGTAAATTGCACCCAGAAAACTGCACCCAGTACACTGCATCAAGTAAATGGCACACTGTCAAGTGCTCCCCGTAAACTGCAGCAATGCCCCCAAGAAAAATACTACCTGTTAACTGCACTAAGAAAACTGCATCCCGTAAACTGCACCCGGAAAAATACACCCTGTAAACTGCACCCAGAAAACTGTACCCCATAAACTGCATCCTGTAAAATACATCCCGTAAACTGAACCCAGAAAACTGCATCCCGTAAACTGCATCTCGTAAACTGCACCCAGAAAACTACATCCCATAAACTGAAGCCAGAAAACTGCATTCTGTAAACTGCATCCCTGTAAACAGCACCCAGAAAACTGCATCCTGCAAAATAGACCCTGTAATCTGCATCACGTAAACTGCATTAAGAAAACTGCACCCTCTTAACTGCATCCTGTAAACTGCACCCAATAAACTGCACCCAAAAAACTATACCCCGTAAACTACATCCTGTTAACTTACCCCGTAAACTGCACCCAGAAAACTGCACCCCATAAACTGCACATGTAAACTGCACTATGTAAACTGTACCTGTAAACTTCATCCCGTAAACTGCACCCATAAACTGCACTAAGAAAACTGCATCCCGTAAACTACAACCAAAAAAAATACAACCCTTAAACTACATCCTGTATACTGCAATCAAAAAACTACACCCCATAAACTGCACCCAGAAAATTGCATCCTTGTAAACTGCATGCTGCAAAATACATCCTGTAAACAGCATCCCGTAAACTGCACCCCATAAATTGCACCCCGTAAACTGCACTAAGAAAACTGCACTCTGTAACATGGGTCAGGAAAATTTAAAATCCCAATCGGACATTTACATTTATGCCACGCCCCCTTCAAACAGCATATTTTAGTACGACTTTTTACACACAAATTACAATTTGTTACGTATTCATAATATGATGAATTATGAATTGTTTCAATTTAAATTGTTATCATTTTAGATATATATGGAAAACATACGTTTGTTTCTGTTATAATAACGATCTGTTAATGTTGTGAACGGTCTAATTAATATTCATCAGCCTGCTCAAGTGTACGCGTTGTAACATTTGGATCGAGACTATTATCCCATATTTGGTTATCACATGACCTCACGGGAAAAGGGTTTTTTTAAACTAAAGATTATTTAAAAACAAGACAGATAATATAATCATAAATCCTAAACTAACGTTGATAGCAATAGTTATTTGAATACTTTTTCATCTGAACTTAATTATTGACCATAAAAAAATTGGATATCGATCGTCACAGAAAGCAAAATGGCGGTCAAACAAGATTCAATATACGACTAGCTACTGAAAACAATAAAATCTGCAAATCCTCATTGTATGTCAACCAAGTGAAAGTCGTTAGCCACGACTTACAAAATGATCATTCAGACTTTGAGGGTTTGGCAGATCCGCTCGATTGATCTGCATCGGTCGACTGGCTGTCGTCACGCTTTCGCTTCTTGTCTGAGGTTACGTATCGTAGCATTGTGAGGATAATGAGGTACATCGATGATGCAAGGTATTTATGTACAGTTGTAAACACATTTTACTCAAATTAACAAGATGTTCTCAGTAATTAATCCTCGATTAATCAGTGTCAACTCAGTTTATTGCCTATTACAGTGATTGACCGATTGGACTATCATTGTCGGTATGATGTATTTACAGCAATCAAAACAAACAAAGCTTGTCAGTGTAGATAATCTTCATTGTGTTACAACTGCAGACAGAAACTGCTCAGTCCTAACTGTTGATCATGTCCGGTCAAAATTTAAGAATGTCCGGACAATACTTTTTAAAATGTCCGGACAGAAAAATTTAAATGTCCGGTAAGCAATATTTTAAACCGGACATTTGAGATTCCCAATCGGACATGTCCGGCGCATATGACGGTTTCCGGACCCCTGGTCTGTAAGCTGCATCCCGTAAACTGCATCCTGTAAAATACATCCCATAAACTGAACCCAGAAAACTGCACCCCGTAAACTGCATCTGGTAAATTGCACCCTGTAAACTGCACCCATAAAACTGCACCCCGTAAACTGCATCAAGTAAATGGCACCCTGTCAAGTGCACCCCGTAAACTGCAGTAATGCCCTCAAGTCTCACCTCTGTGCCTCCTCCATGTCGCTGTGAAGGGGACATATCGTCACCTCCATCTTGCGAGGACTCATCCATGCCTTCTGTGTCTCGCAGCAAACAGGACGTATCGTCAACCCCGTCCTGCGAGGGCTCCTCCGTGCCTCCAGTGTCTTGCTGTGAGGGTGACATATGATCACCGCCATCCTCTGACGGTTCCTGGCTATGTCCAGGTTTCATTGTCTCCGGGGCAACATCAGCACTCTCCTGATGTCTCTCATCAAGGGTCTCTCCTGAGCTCAACTCAGGATTGATGCATGACTTCAGTGAAATAACAAAGTCAAGCTTAAACATCTGCTAAAAGAGTAAATCTCTATCATGGTTCAACATCAAAACTGACGACAATGAAGAGAAAATGATAATCTAGGATTTTTGTTTGCCTATTCTGACAGAGATTTCACAAATACCACAGCAATATAGGAGAATGATCTTTAGCCTTAAGCAGCCAGGATGGCACTGAACAGTCACAGATTTAAGTGAGTGAGTGAGTGAGCTGGGTTTAAGGCCACTTTTAACAATATTCCAGTTATATCAAGGCACGTCTGCTTAATGTGGGAGGAAAGCCCGAGGTGATGCAGGTCTCAGACATTTACCACTTAGGTGAAACCCACAAGCACAGGTATGGTGCTGACAAACCTAGAAACATAATCAGGGCAAACCGGGATTCAAACCCACAATCATAGGTCATAGGGACATAGCTCTGCAGCGAAATGGGGCAACTTAGACGACTGATCCATCCGTGCCCCCTGAGATCTAAGTGTCCCTGTTGGGTGATGCTGGTGGGTTCACCAAGACAGCTTGGTGCTGCAACAAGCACAACAACAGGTCATAACCAGTTCCAATAGCTGCCTGCCCACAAGCCAAATGCCAGTGACTCTTAAATTGGGCTGGTAACATTTCCATAAAGCTAGCCCGACTGTCCAGTTCAAAATTCTAGTCATACATATATATTTCTACAAACCATCAATTCATTTAAAGTCAAAGTTGTCATTTTTGTCTTCATCTTGTAGTATCATTTCAAAGTAGTAAACTGGGTTTTTGCTGACAAACAAAATAAAACCACAAAAATTTAGGTTAACACAAAATATGTTGGCTATCGCCATGAAGTAGTCTAGTAAGATATGACAAGGGCTTGCAACATGTATTTATTAATGATCCCCCCTGGCCAAACAACTCGAAACTAATTCACACACTGGTGACAACTAGAACCGGAAACTCGATGCTCGCGCTGTCCAGCACAACAAGGCTGTAACAGAAGACAGGGCATCATTCTGTATTACCTGTGACTTGGCAGTGCTTCGCTCATTACTGTGTGAAGTATCCACTTGACCTTCACCTTGACTGCTACTGACATGTACCGGGAGGAAGTCTTCGTTGCTGGCATCTCGTTGGATCGCTATAGTAACGACTTGGGGAGCCTTCCTCAGATATGTCACAGCCTCGAAATGACTCATCTCAGTCATATCCTGACTGTTGACCTGCACAGGAAACCATGTCCGTGTCATGCAACACTGTCAAGTCTCATACAACTGGCTGTTCTCATACAACTGGCTTCATGCATATGTAATCCATACTAAATGATAACCCATGCCATAGGAATAAAAAGAGATGTTTCACACAAGGCGGATCAAACATAAACAGATTCTGATCTTAAACACATAACTGTCAATCTAAACATACATACTCTGAAGTCTAAACACACATACTGTCAGTCACAACATACATACTGACTCTCAGTCTAAACATACATACTGACACTCAATCTAAAAATACATGCTGACTCTCAGTCTAAACACACATACTGTCAGTCTAAACATACATACTGACTGTCAGTCTAAACATACATACTGACTGTCAGTCTATACATACATACTGACTGTCAGTCTAAACACACATACTGTCAGTCACAACATACATACTGACTCTCAGTCTAAACATACATACTGACACTCAATCTAAAAATACATGCTGACTCTCAGTCTAAACACACATACTGTCAGTCTAAACACACATACTGACTGTCAGTCTAAACATACATACTGACTGTCAGTCTAAACACACATACTGACTGTCAGTCTATACATACTGACACTCAATCTAAACAAACATACTGACTCTCAGTCTAAAAATACATGCGGACTCTCAGTCTAAAAATACATGCGGACTCTCAGTCTAAACACACATACTGTCAGTCTAAACATACATACTGACTGTCAGTCTAAACATACATACTGACTCTCTTTCTAAACATACATACTGACTCTCTTTCTAAACATACATACTGACTGTCAGTCTAAACACACATACTGACTGTCAGTCTATACATACATACTGACACTCAATCTAAACAAACATACTGACTCTCAGTCTATAAATACATGCTGACTCTCAGTCTAAACACACATACTGTCAGTCTAAACATACATACTGACTCTCTTTCTAAACATACATACTGACTGTCAGTCTAAACATACATACTGACTCTCAGTCTAAACATCAAACAATAGTTATCATTGTGAATAATTCTAAGAATACCACCTCTATCACATCAGTGCCATAAATTCCTGTTTATGCTGAGAACCACGCTATAAATTTTTTTATAAATTTTCAACAGATGTCCACCACACTGTCAACATATCCATAGTTGAGAGGGAAACCCTATCCCTTGCCAGAGGCGCCACTGCGCATGCGCAAGGCGGGAATCTAGTCACTTCTTTCAACCCATTACTCTCATCAACTAGATGCAGATGGGGAGGTGGGAGGGATTAATTCCTGATGTGATAGAGGTGGTATTCTTAGAATTATTCACAATGATAACTATTGTTTGATAATTCTTGTGAATACCTCACCTCTATCACATCAGTGCCAGTATACACCAGAGGGACCGGCGGGTTCTGGTATCTAGCATCCCTTAGATATTTGGCTAGTGAAGTGGTAAAACCAAGGATTATATGCCAAAAAGGGGTCTAAAACGGATGTGTCTAATAGTCTACTTACAAGACCTAGACGTATAGAATTTTCCAGACGTCATATGAAGGGTATATGTATATTCCCTTGTGATACTTAGACATATTGTGACGTCACTTCCTGTGATGACGTCATCTGTGACGTCACTTCCTGTGATAATGTCATCTGTGACGTCATTTCCGGTGTCCATTCTCTCGTATCACTTATGACGTGGTTTACCGTTATGCCCTTTTGGATAGTGATATTTAACGTATCTTAACGTTATTCCGGTGTGATGACTCCTATGACATCACTTCCGGTGGTAGTACATTGACGTTCTATCATGTAGATTACCCTATATCACTTAATCCTTCGATCTCTGATTTCAGTGTTGTCATTTGCCCTGTTTTACTAACTCAAAAGCGCAGTCCAGTAACAAATACAACTTACCCTGAGTTCATGAGGTACTTCTGAAATCTTCACCCCTCCCCCCTTTTTTTTCCCTTCCTGGAAGAGGGAGGGAACAGGTTACTTGGTGACTATCACCGGGGCAGCCACCAAGGGCCCCAGGGTGTATAGTCCATTTAGATCGGTCTGTATGTCTCGTAAGTAAAAGTTTGAAAAAGTGTTGTGGGACTTCCACTGGCAGCTGGCCACGATTTGTTCGATGGATGTAGTATTCCATGTGGCTAGGCTTGTTGCAAGTGCTCTGATTTCGTGAGGTCTGCAGTTACCCCAAATCGGAGTGGAGATTTGTGCGATTTTATAGCTATCTGTGATAACTGATTTTAGCCATCCTGCTACAGTGCCCTTTGTGAAGTCCTTTTCTGACGAGGGCTTGCAAGAGATAAATAGACGTTTTCTCTGATTTCTGTGGGGTTGAGTTGCTGTTATGAAATATCTCAAGGCTCTTATGGGACAAAGCAGTCTGCCCGAGAAGTCCACACTTTTACTTAGGGCTGGTATTGTGTATTGCCTGTGTCCGAGTGGGCCAAAGGTTGACGACTGTTTTTTGGCAATAAATTCAGGGAGCGATCTGAACGACACTGCTTTCCATTCTTGGGTATGAGTTACAGTGGAGATGTCAATAGTGTGTAGTTCTGACACGCGAGCCGCCGTAGCCATGGCTAGGAGAAAAGCAGTTTTCTTGGAGACTGATAGTAATGTCGCACTACTCATGGGTTCATATGGTGCTTTCATCAATGCTGACAATACTATAGATAGATCCCATTTTGGGAAGGTACGCGGTACTTTTATATCTTCCAGGGCAAAAGACTTCATAAGTCGATTTAGTACCAAATGGGTACCTATAGATAGGTCATCGTGTTGTAATACTGATGACAGGGCTGATCTATATCCTTCGATAGTGCCGTGTCGTAATTTCTTGTCGTTTCTGAGATGGAGCAAGAATTCGGCTACTATAGGTATCGTTATATCTCCATGTAACTGTTTTCCTCTTCTCCATTCGACGAACTTGTCCCATCTGTTATTGTATAAGGCAGATGAGGCTGGTCTCCATGAGCTAGCCACTCTTCGTGCAGCTGATTTAGAGTAACCGGCGGCTTGCATCTTATGCGAGATAACTTCCAAGCGTGAAGATGGAGGTTGTCGAGGCGGCCGTAAAATATGTCCGTCTTTGGTTGTCTCAATAGGTCGTGACGTACTGGGAGTTTCAGAGGTACTTCTACCAGGAGTTGTAGAAGTCTCAGAAACCAAGCCCTTTTCGGCCAAGCCGGGGCTATGAGGATTCTGACACAGTCCATTTCCTCTATTTTCTTCAGTACTCTCTCTAGGAGAGCCCATGGGGGAAATGCGTAACCAAACATTCCCTTCCATTCCATGGAGAGCGCATCGACTTGGAGTGCTAGTGGGTCTGGTACTGGGCTGACGTAGACTGGTAGTTTGTTGTTGAGACATGTGGCGAATAGATCTAGGTTTGGAGTGTCCCATATCTGGGTTATCCACTTGAACACCTCGGGATGTAGTGACCATTCTGTTGGTACTATCTTGTTCTTCCGGGATATGTAATCTGCTAGTATATTTAGCTTGCCCGGAATGTGTCTTACTTCGATCTTGCAACTCACTGAGTCTACCAAGGCATATAAACGTGTAACCTCCTTCAGTAAAAGCTGAGATCTTGTGCCACCTTGGTGCTGTATGTAAGCGACCACGGTTGAGTTGTCTGTAGCGATCTTCACTGACGAGTGGTGTAGACAATTTAGCCAAGCTGTTAATCTAGATATATCGCTCTCATTTCTAGACAATTGATGTGTATTTCTTTGTCTTGGGAGGACCATTTCCCTTGAATGGTGACATCGTCCATATGGGCGCCCCAACCCTCTCCTGATGCATCTGTGTAGAGTTGATGTAGGGGGGTGGGGTAGTTTAGTGGAATACCTGGCATGACATTTTGATGATTTAGCCACCAAAGGAGTTCTGCGATTCGAACTTGTGGGGGTTGGATTAGTGCTTCCAGCTCTAGGTTCTTGGTTGTGTTCATCCAAATCTGCAAGGGCAGTAATTGTAGCCTGCCTCTGTAGGTTAGGTCTTGGATAGATGTGAGCGTGCCTAGGCAAGACATCCACCAGCGTCTCGACTTGACGGGCTGATCGAGTGCGCTTGTAATCATGTGCTGTACTCTTGCATATCTGTCCTCTGGGGGTGCTACTATGCCCTTGTCGAGAATAAATCTTGTGCCTATGTAGGTAATGACCTGTGTGGGTACTAGCTCTGATTTTTTAGAGTGAACCAGGAAACCTAAGTGTGTGAGAAGTTGGATGAGACACACTGTGTTTAGACTGAGTTGTGATTTGTCCTGATCGACCGATAGGAAATCGTCTATATATCTGTGAAGCCTTATGAGCTTTAGATTGGCGAAACCAATGACGGGATTGGTGATCCTGGTGAATAACCATGGGGCGATGGATATGCCGAATGGTAGTACCCTGAACTGGTATCTCTGACCGTTGACAGCGAATCGTAGGTATCGACGATGACTTGGATGGATCGGGACGTGAAGATATGCGTCTTGCAGATCTATGCTTATCATCCAATCTGCTTGTCTTAGGGAATTCTTCAACCTCTTTATAGATTCCATCTGAAATGTGGGTTTTTGTTCCAGGTAATCTTTGTTCAGAGTTTTTAGTCTATTATTAATCTCATCTCTGAAGAATTCTTCTTCGGTACCAGGAAAACTGGGGAGTAGAATCTGAGGGTGGTGTCTGACTCCTTTAGGGTGCTGATAGCTCCTTTTGTGAGTAATTTTTGTATGGCTACTTCTGCTGCAATTAGCTTCGGTCCTGATAGCTGGAATCGGGGTCCGGTAGGATGAATGACTAGTTTTGGTCGTTTAAAGAAGTGAAGTTTGTAGCCTCTTCTTATTACTTCGAGTAACCATGAGTCGTCTGTGATGGTCTCCCAGTTGTCTGCGTACTGCATAAGACAGCCTCCGACTGGTCCCGGAATAGGATGAGATTTGAACTTGGGTAGTCTTGGGTCGATGTTTGTAAGATTGGCTAGTTCGACTGGATTTGGAGTAGACGTGTCCATGGTCTTCAGTAATTGTAAATCGTTGTCCGTAGGGCAGGCGAAGTCGGTAGGATCTGGATGGGTCTGTAGATTTATGGTGGAGTCATTTCCGAAGGGGACCCCTACGGGAACTGCCTCTTCATCTTCCAAGTCCTCTCTGTGAAGTGGGAAGATCAACTTTGGAGTTCTTGTACCTGGGTTGATACGATCTGTTTCTCTGTGTAGAGGCTCGAAAAGAATCTCCGTTGGACTGTTCGCGTCGGGGTCCAGGAATCCGTCGCTGGAGTCGAGTAACCGCCGGTTGTTTCTCTAACTTGGATGCTAACGAGATGGTGGATTCCTGAAATTTCTGGTTAGTTGACGAGATAATGGCTCCCTTCACCGACTTCAGTCTACTGTTGAAAATCTGCGATGACGTAATGGGCTGTGACATCATGGATCTCTTTAAAGGGTCTGGCATCACATGATGAACTTGCTGAGGTAAGTGTCTTCTTTGCATGAGCAAAAACTGCGCTGACATCCATACTTGAGCTGATAGGAGGTCTTCCTGCATCTTCAGTATGGGGTCTAATGAGCTGTGGATAAATCCCGTCTTCTGACTAGTCATCTCTGTGGAAGTGTCTAAGGGAAGATCATCGCTCTGGTTGTACAGGGGTATGACATGGCGAATACCAGCTGCTAACCAGTTGATGTAAGAACTGGTATTAATCATTTGTTTATTGACCTTATCTAAGCTCTTGATCTTGGACATACCAATGCGCATATTGGGGTTAGGTTTCTTAACAAGATCGAAGTAATCTTCGTCAATGCTAGGCTGTAGTGTGAACGGATCATCCTGTGTTTTGTAAGCAGATCTAATATAGACAGGCCTCAGTTTAGCACTAGGACCCGCTGAAAAGTTCAATTGATTTTCAGTTCTCTTGATGACGTCATCCAAATATGACGGAGGGGGAAGCGTATGGAATGGTTCGGTCCCCTTATCGGGTCCCTCGTATCCTGCACGTTCAATCAAGGGTTTAACGGGTGTACTGTCCTGATCTGGTTTTAAGGTGGGCATTAGTTCATAAAGTTCTGCTATGATGTCTCTAAGGGAGTAATTGTTGGTCTATAATCCTCCTCTATAGCAGTGTCCCCATAGCCTGAATGTAGATCGGCACCCCCTACTCTGGCTCTGCTGGGAGTGGGTCGTTTGGCTGAGGGTATCGTAATCCCGGTCGTCTGATTTACGGCAAGCTGTGCGGGAATCACGTGGTCTGTAACTGTATGGTGATGTCATATTTCCCTCGCTTTCTTCCTCTGAATAACAGGTCTGTGTGGCAGTATGAGAAGGTGCACGCTTAGGATTACTATCCTGATATGCACGAGCTTTGTCGGTGCGTATATCATAGTGGCTTGACGGTGATTGGTGCGTATTTCTGTGCATACTGCGGTGTGAAGACCGTGATTCACGATGAGCCCTGTGGTGTGCGTGGTAGGGAGTATCTTAGTATAATTCTCCTACTGTCCTCATAATCTGATTCAGCGTAACCTTGTACATGTCTGCTGTATGAGGGTGTACTGCCATATTCAGCCTTAGATCTCTGTTTTCTCTCGTGATCAATCCCTGATTGGCCAAGCCGGGTTTGATTAACTGATTCTTTTAGATCTGAGATTTCTCGAGACATAGATTGCATGCGCGTGTCAATCATAACAGACGTTGAATTTGTTATTCTTTCCGTGAACTCATTTACATTAGAGGGGGAATGCGGCAGAGGGTGAAAATCGTTACTTTCTGTCCAAACTCGATGATCGACCGTACCAAACGTTGCCGGATGCAAGTTAGAGGCACTTTCTGTTTGACCGGTAAAATGCAACTGCTCCTCAACATTATTGGGAGAGTGGGATGAGCGACAGGGTCTCTTCTCCTCATAAGGTGAGACGGCGCCCTCGCGCCACACTCGCTTGTCACCCACGTGATTAATTTGGCCGCCACGGGCTTAATCACTTGTTTTCTTGATGTAGATGCTCTAGTGACCTTTTTATAATCAGGATTTTTGATCCATGCCTTGGAGAGCTTGTCAAATTTTTCTTTTGACAGATGCTCGCAATAACTGCACCTTGACTTCTGTGTACAGCTGCTTTTCTTGCATGCGAGACATCTAGGGTGAGGATCACCAGGAGCTTGGTGTTGTCCACAGCCCGAACAGACAGGTGTCTGCTTATGAGATGAAGATCTCATCCCACAACACTTTTCTTAACTAATTACTCACTAGAGACTCCGATCTTCTATACCCCCGTTCTGCTTGTAGAACTGCTCTTTGCTTGTAATCTATGAAGCTTGAGACGAACTATCTTGTAATGTGGAACTCAATCACGTGTTTGGATGTGCAACAAAAAGAATTTCCTTGTTGTCATCAGGACACACAGGAAAGAAGTGACTAGATTCCCGCCTTGCGCATGCGCAGTGGCGCCTCTGGCAAGGGATAGGGTTTCCCTCACAACTATGGATATGTTGGCAGTGTGGTGGACGTCTGTTGAAAATTTATAAAAAATCTCAGCATAAACAGGAATTTATGGCACTGATGTGATAGAGGTGAGGTATTCACAAGAATTATACATGTTGACTATCAGTCTTAACATTCATACTCTCAGTCAAAACAAAAATACTATCAGTCTGAATATACATACTGACTGTCAGTCTTAACATACATACCGACTCTCAGTCTAAACACATACCCTGATGAGTTTATCTCCGACTCTCAGTCTGCCATCGGAAAGTGCTGGGTCTTGTACAACACCCTTGATGTAACAGCCGCCGGTTGTGGTGGCGCCACCTGCCACCGTGAAACCAAGCCCTCCTCCGGGGCGCTTGCACAGAGTCACTTCCAACATCTGCCAATATCAAACAGAGTTTTCTACATTGTTGTGTAGATTGCTACAATGTTGTGTACATTGCTATAGAGTTGTGTACAATGCCACATCACTGTGTACATTGCTATAGAGTTGTGTACAATGCCACATCACTGTGTACATTGCTATAGAGTTGCGTACATTGCCACATCACTGTGTACATTGCTACAGTATTGTGTACATTGCAACAGTGTACACTGCTACAGTGATGCGTACATTGCTACAGAGTTGCGTACATTGCAAGAGCTGTGTACATTGCTCCAGTTTTGTGTACATTGCTACAGTATTGTGTACATTGCTATAGTGTTGTATACATTGCTACAGTGTTGTGTACATTGCTACAGTGTACACTGCTACAGTGTTGTGTACATTGCCACATCATTTTGCACTTTGCTACACAGTGTACACTGCTACAGTGCTGTGTACATTGCCACAGTGTTGTGTACATTGCTATAGAGTTGTGTATGTTGCTATAGAGCTGTGTACATTGCGACAGAGTTTTGTACATTCCTACAGTGTTGTGTACATTTCCAGAGTGTTGTGTACATTGCACTGTCACATCATTGTGTACATTGCTACAGTGTTGTGTACACTGCCACATCATTGTGTACATTGCTACAGTGTTGTGTACACTGTCACATCATTGTGTACATAGCTACAGTGTTGTGTGCATTGCTACATCATTGTGTACATAGCTACAGTGTTGTGTGCATTGCTACATCATTGTGTACATAGCTACAGTGTTGTGTGCATTGCTACATCATTGTGTACATAGCTACAGTGTTGTGTGCATTGCTACATCATTGTGTACATAGCTACAGTGTTGTGTGCATTGCTACATCATTGTGTACACTACCACATCATTGTGTACATAGCTACAGTGTTGTGTACATTGCTACAGTGTTGTATACATTGCTACAGTGTTGTGAACATTGCTACAGTGTTGTGTAAATTGTTACAGTGTTGTATACATTGCTACAGTGTTGTGTACATTGCTAGTGTTGTGTACATTGCTACAGTGTTGTATACATTGCTACAGTGTTGTGTACATTGCTACAGTGTTGTGTACATTGCTACAGTGTTGTGTACATTCTTACAACATATGTTGTAGCAGGATCATGGGGGATACATGGGGTTTTATCCATCCCTAATGAGTGCAGCCTGTCTACCTCTTGATGGGAAATATGGCCGGCCTCAAAGTTTATATTTTCACCAAGTAGCCATAATGCTAGAAGTAGTTTTTTTCAAGGTAGCCAGGGGTAAAATCACAAAGTCAAGCCAATATTGTAGGTAGCCAAAAGCATTTGAAATTATCTTTTATCAAGTAACTATTACATGCACAAGTCATAGCACTAAGTCTTGGAATTGTATATTAGTGGAAACTGTACTTGAGTTTTGTTATTTGTGACTCGAACAATGATACAATTTATGTTACCCAGATTAGATACATATATCCTTGTTTATCCAATAGACTATCAACTAAAACAAGTATTTGTCACAGAGTGACGAAATATCCCCCGCCTGTACACCATAGTACCAAATATGAAGACAATCCAGCGATTAGTTCTTGAGATATTGTGGCAACACCGTTTTCCAACTCCAAAAACAGATTTGCCTGCTGTGACCTTGAAAATGGGGTCAAGGTCACCAAATATGACAGGTGTATGCGGTGTCTGTATATACACCATAGTTCCAAATATGAAGACAATCCAGCGATTAGTTCTTGAGATATCGCGGCAACACCGTTTTCTAACTCTAAAAGCAGATTTGCCTGCTGTGACCTTGACAATGGGGTCAAGGTCACCAAAACCGACTGGTGTCTGCGGTGTCTGTATATACACCATAGTTCCAAATATGAAGACAATCCAGTGTTTAGTTCTTGAGATATCGCGGCAACACCGTTTTCCAACTCCAAAAGCAGATTTGCCTGCTGTGACCTTGAAAATGTGATCAAGGTCACCAAAACCGACTGGTGTCTGCGGAGTCTGTATATACACCATAGTTCCAAATATGAAGACAATCCAGTGTTTAGTTCTTGAGATATCGCAGCAACACCGTTTTCCAACTCTAAAAGCAGATTAATCTGCTGTGACCTTGAAAATGGGATCAAGGTCACCAAAACCGACTGGTGTCTGCGGAGTCTGTATATACACCATAGTTCCAAATATGAAGACAATCCAGTGTTTAGTTCTTGAGATATCGCGGCAACACCGTTTTCCAACTCTAAAAGCAGATTTGTCTGCTGTGACCTTGAAAATGGGATCAAGGTCACCAAAACCGACTGGTGTCTGCGGAGTCTGTATATACACCATAGTTCCAAATATGAAGACAATCCAGTGTTTAGTTCTTGAGATATCGCGGCAAGAAACAGGTGGGACGTACGGACGGACGTACGGACGTACGTACGGACGGTCGTGAATACTATATCCCCCGCTTTGCGCTTTCGCGCGGCGGGGGATAAAAATATACTAATTACATTAATATTTATGTATTTCAGTTCATTGTTGATTTTAGGAGGAGTTATTTGCAAGTACAATCAGTAGCAGACATGTTTATTTTTGTGTCTACATGTGTAGCAATAGAAGTAGTAGTATAGGGAATGGGGATTCTGGCTCACTTCTACTGGAGCCAGATTTATACCCCAATACCTATACTACAGAGGTCATTTTTTGTGCAAAAGCCACGATGCACACAAATAATCGTCATGAGACTAAGCTAAATTGTAATGAAAAGGGCTCTGGCTCACCACCACCTGAGCCATTCCCAAACCCTATAAATGCTTCTATGCTGTAAATGATATAAAGTTTTATATGTAATGGTGATTCTGGCTCACTGCCATTGGAGTATTTATACCCCAATACCTCTACTACAGAGGAAGAGAATATATGGATGTCAAGTTCTTTATTATGAGAAACACAAAGTTTCGGAGTATATGCTTACTCCTTCATCAGGTGAATGAATGCCATGAGGCAGAGAGCATATACTGTAAAAGGTGAAATTAACTTGAGCGTGAATTAAATACGAAAAATGCGAGTGGTCTTTGCTCGCATTATTAAACATCACATTTATATCAACAATTAGACATTTTGGATAGCAGAAATACCAACTTAGACAAACGCTGAAAACAAACAACTATCTATTCCACATCAATGTTTATTGAGCAGCACTTGTAACAAGTACATAAACAATGTCATTCAAACACTAATTACATCCTGTGAATTGATACTGCTGGGGTGAAGACAAGCGTTCTTCTCACTCATGTCATCACTTATCATACCTGCAAGTCCAGACAGACGCCACCCAACACGGTAGTCTTTGCTCTTTGCGACTGCATCAAAGGCCGACACAAGCCAGCGCGCACGTAGTGCTTTAGCTGAAGTACTGTACTCAGCGCTAATAAGCGGTGCTATTTGGTGTGTGATTGGATTAATGTAAGGTTGGATTAAGGTGAGGATTCTCCTGTAAACCTGACAGAGGATAATTTGTTTAGATATAAATCCACTGATGCTTGAGAGGAGGGGGTGTTGCATTCATATTGAGTCGCATATTTGGCTAGGGCCGGCGGTCGCATTCTTTTGGAGACGCATTAATTTCACGTTTTACAGTATATGTACATGTGAGGACAACAAAATTAATAAGATAACAAAAGAAGGAAAATAACAAAAGGTACAAGCTAACAAAGGAAGCCAAAAGATGATTGAGATGATAAGTGATTAGCAATGGACAATGGAAGCCAACACTTCATAGCTAAGTAATTCATAATTGACACTGGGCAAATGGGGGTTGGGGGTGGGTTAACATCAGAACACGTGAAATGGCCGAGTTATTTCAAGTAGATCCTGGTCGCGGGTTTATGGGATCATTAACTAAACTATTAACAAAATACGATGTCATAATAAGGCATGGTGAAAAAGAAGCCAAACGTAGTCAAGCTATTGTTGAAAGATTTAACCCGACATTAGCAGAACGTTTGTTTGGATATCAGTATGGGATTGAAATGAAATCGGATCGATTAAGATCAACCGAATGGGTGACACGATTATCAGCTGTTGTATCTGCACTAAATAATGAAGTAACGAGATTAATTGGGAAAAACCATCAGATGCGGTTAAAATGAAATCTGTGACTTCAGAATCTTCAGCACCTCGGAGAGGCAAAGAACAAAATCTTCCGGATAGAGTAAGCGTAAGATATTTATACCAGCCCGGTGAACTCGAGGGAGGCTAACATCGTGCAACTGATCCAATTTGGTCTCTTAAGATATAGACAATTAGTTGGTTGGTTATGAAACAAATTAAGCCTATTCTATATTATCTTAAAGATGGAACGGGCCGGGGATTTGTACGAGAATAGTTGCTCATAGTTCCCAGCGACACAGTATTACCACCATAACCATAAGCATAGGTAGTTACACCATCCTTATCAATCCATGTCTTTGTATCTCAGGGGGATAATGATGTCTTGTTCATTCTTAATCCATATATCCTGTGATTGACACTTCTTAAAGTGTTCATCTCGTGTTTGAGTGTTCTACCATTGACCGTGTTTGATATGCTTTTTTACCACATACTTCTTAACACCCTTAGCTTTTCTTATCTCCCCATCATCAGCCTCATTTATAGAATACATCTTAGGTCTTAATCCAACATACTCCGCAATAGGAATTCCAGCATACTCATCCTTCATCTTACCTAAAACCTTTTTATTTACTGCGCTGTGCAATGGATTATCTTTTGGGTAATCGCTCGTATCGTACAAATCTATTTTTTCTGCCATATCTTTACACAGATCCTCGGTTTGTATTTTCATCAAAAAAGAATCTGTATCGGTATATAACACCTCACATCTATCGCCGTATTGCTTCTTAAGTTCTTTGTAATAAAAGTTATATATTAAGTATTTTGACAAGTCAAGAATACTCATACCAGCATACACCGGTCTGTTCAATATTATATTACTCTTCCGCAAATGTAGTGCCGGAC